TGACAGGCCTGGTTATCACAATATGCCCCCCCTTGCTATCTTACAAAATAAAAGTGTCACATTCATGAAACTTGCTCCATTAATTGGTACTAGTCCTACAACTATACCCTGAAATATGCTTGAGGGTGGGATTAATATAAGCATAGGCCTGCCGCCTGTCAGCCTTCCATCTGTGCACAAACTTATCTATTAACACGAGATAAGTTTGTGCACAGATGGAAGGCTGACAGGCAGGTAGGCCATCCAGTTATTTTAGCCGGGCCGGCTAAAATGATTGGTCGTGCTTTTTACAGTAATACGGCTTCCACAGATGACATTTTTTTATGGATTTGTTGTCAAAGCACTTAAGATATTCATTGCTATCGGGATGTTAAGACCATTCCATGGAATATAACAAAAAGTGTATCTCGAGCCGGTTTCTCAAACTTACCTACCCTACCTTTAAGGTGTAAACGTGTCATTTAGAAATGCGCGTTCCCGTGACAAGCGGGGCATTTCATGATGGGGGTGCATAATTTGACACAACACCGGTGTCTGAACGCTCACTCACTGCTAGCTATGTAGCTAACTGACTAAGCTTGCATTGTTATGGATCTAAAGGTAGCAAAAGCTAACTTTCATAGCACAGCTTTTCTTTACTTCTCACTTAACACAATAAAGAAACAGACCGTATAGTACAGCACAAACAACACAAATGATCAATACTTACATATATTTTCACTTGTAGTATTATAATAATTGAAATGCTGGTTCTTCTGGGGGTGTTCTATCCACGCTCAGCTACCGCACCGCAGCTGCCTGCACTGTACAATCGCTGGAGGACTGGGCTGTCACTCAAAAACTGAGTAGCCAATGGGGACGCACCCCTGAAAGTCCCGCCCACCTGGGACGTTTGTGTAAATCGAAAACAAAAAATGAGGGAGCGCAAACGAGAGAGCTGCAGCGAGAGCAAAAGTCTGATCATTGAGAAAGAAGCAAAGAGAACTGCAAACAAAAAGATATGTTAAAACAAAGAAAAAATACTTATAGTTTACATGATTACACAAATGATTTGTTTGCAACTTATAGTTTTTATTTTTGAAATTAAATACATTTTGCTTGACTCAGTTTTTTTTTTCTCTTAAACTCTTAGTTTTGCTTGATTCTGAGAAAGTGTTGCTTTATCTTTATGAAACAAAACGAATCCCATACTAACGTACCTCTTTCATAAATAACACACTTGCTCTGCAATAATGTCATATGTTTGATGTTTCTTGTCATTTCTGTTAGAAAAGGACATACCTGAAGGAAACAACTGCCTCACCGTTTTCTCCAAGGGGCCAGAAGAAAATGAAAAGCTGATATGACATTAAAGACCAATACAAGACATTCACTAAGAAACTACTCTTTTATTGTTAACACAAAGATCTGCACACTGAATAGTGTGTATTCAAACAGGACCATCATTTGTTTGTGACAGCTGTGCCCAGTATGGGCTCACAGATGCAGTTAGGTGGTTTCTTCATCAGGCCTGGTCCTCCTCCCAGAGAAAGACCGCTCCACCTCAGTCCTCTCCAGCCAAACCCACAGACAGGACATCTGTCACACTGAGGTTTCTCCCAAAGTCTCTGCAGCTCCCTGGACTCCACGCTGTCTCAATTGATCCACACTGTGAATATGAGAGGGGAAAATGTGTGTAATAAATGCTTTAGACAATAAGAAATATGAAGTTATCTGTAAGGAGTGGCTCAGTTTTTTTAAATAAACAATACTATTACTGTATTTTAATATCTCACGTCTGAAAGTTTCATTTAAAAGAAGAAGAGGCACCTAAAATGATGATTGTTATTTCAATACATTTAGTTGATTTAGTCTTTTTAATTGTTTAAAGTAAAGTAGATAGAACTGGTACTTAAGAGTTTTAATACAGTCTGGTTGTGGAGGAGGCACACAGGTAAGAGCACTAACTAGCTACCATCACATGTAACTAAGCTTGAATTTAATTTATTAAAAGTATAATTAAGTAATAGCAAAAAATCAATAACTAAAATCATGCACATATTTGAATCTTTGATGGATCCACTGTTTAATTTACCACAAGATATATATTTTTAGAAACCTGAACATTTTGTATGTATTTATTGTCAAAGCATTTAATATATTCATTGCTATCGGGATGTTAAGAGCATTCCATGGAATATAACAAAAAGTGTTTCTGAAATAAATTACATACCCCACCTTTAAGCTGTAAAGTTGAATATGTTTAAATATGAGTATTTTTCTAATGTAATGTGTTCAATGCACTTTAGTGAATGTATAGCTGTGCAGAAAGTGTTTATGTAAAAAAGGTATATTTTATACTTCAAAGGAAATCTCATGTTTGTATATTTTTGTACAATTTCTGTGAATTGCTATTTTTGTATTTTGATTGTCATTTGATACAAAACACTTGAGTAAATGTCATCGTTATGAAACACCATTTTCACTCTTGTGATAATTTCTCCCCATCTGAAAGGAAAGGGGTGTAACATACACGTTCATACCAGGTTCATACTGTATATTTGTAAATGTATCTTTGGATTGAGGAATAATGATCCTGCTTTAAAAACGTGTTTTTGGTTTGAAGGCTCAACACAAATAACGTTATTCTCTAATACATTTGTTAATGTTTTTTTAATGAGTAATTAACATTGATAAAAGCAAATGTTTTAAATTATTATGATTTCTTTTTTAAATCAAACACAGTCCAGTTACACAAAGGGGGCAAAAATAGAGAGTAAAAAGTAGGCTAAAAGTAGGTTTGTTCATGAAGGCACCAGACAGAGCCGTGCCCTGTTGTGAAAGCGGAACAAAGTGCCCACGAGCTCACTGCCCCATGGCCACGCGGTTGGTGAAGTGACCTAATTGACATTCTCGTCAGATTAACTGTCTTTCTTTCTTTCTTTCTTTCTTTCCTTCTTCCTTAGTCACAGAGGGAAATCTGTATAACCAGTGTTAATTAACTAAGTAGGCCTACATGTACTCAAGTAATGTACCTTGCTACGTTGTACTTTTACTCAGCTACATTGTTGTTATGCCTTTAGTTACTATGCAGATTTGGATTAATGAAATAAAATGAAATCAACAATTAAATAAGACTTTAGTTACACCTGTCGGCTGTGCGTGGTGATGAAAAGCTGGTTCGAGGGGCCCCCAGTGAATGTTTGCCTAGGGCCCCCACCGACTCTAGGATCGCCACTGGTTACACCTGGAGTAACATTCACAAGCTTAAAACTAGCTTCACTTTTACCAGCTTTGATAACCCTCTAATCAATAATTATAATCAAAGCATATAATATATACTGTATCATTCTAAAATGGACCAATCTGCATAATGAGGGGGGGGGGGGTCTTCCCCATGTCACCCTAAAGTGAACTTGTCTCAGCAGTCTGACACCCCTTGTCACATCACTCTAACGAGACAGGAACTGGTCACGGCTGGTTTTCAGCTCCATGATGCAACAGGTGACTCTGAACACAACGAACACATTTTAACAATCTGACAGCATTCCTATGAGAGCAAAACTGTATTAAAGAATTAAACATAAAGCCAATCACAACGTTTGGCTTCATTACAGCTCCATTATCACCGGCCATCATCCTCTCTTTCTTTTTATATCTCTGTGACGAAGGTAACTTCGTCACTGTGGACTGACGGCTTCGGGCTTGGTAACTCAGCCCTTAAGTGAACAGTTTTGCACTTTATTAGCGTGATTGCACAGTACACTTTGGCATTACATATTTGCACATTTTACATAATTTATACTAATTATTGAGGTAGTATTTATGAACTGATTGGACCGTGTTGATTGGAATGTCGTCTGGCCGGTGCTGGTCGGGCCCTCGGCTCCGCCTGAGAAGATGGGGGAGTTGGCGAGAGCGCCGAGAGTATTTGTGCTGGTGTAGAAATGACAGCGGTTAAGAATGATCAGGGTGCAAATAATATGTTGGGGGTGTGTATAAATCACAACGTTAAGTGGCATTAATTGTACAAGTGCTGAATGTGTTTAGTTGGGTTGGTATGTGTGTTATTCTGTTCAGTTATATGTTTGTGTTTGGAAAGTGTTCCCCCTCCCGTTTTGTCTGTTGCTCCTGATTATGTTCACCTGGTGCCCTGTGTTGTCTCCTCCCCCCTCACCTGTGTCTTGTTGGCTTGATTGCACATGTAGGTATTTAGGCTCTGTGTCCCCTGTTTTGTGGGGTGTGAGATCTTGTGGCTGGTGACTGTGCTCACGGGAACAGCAAGATTGAGGCTGTGTCCTGTGACCGAATTTAGTGCTTGTCCACATAACGGGTGGATTTATAAGGAACATCTTGAATACACATGAGGGCAGTAGTACTGCATGTGTCCTTTAGATGGAGACAGCAAACCAAAGGATTTCCTGAAGTAGACTGACACCTTTATTTATATGGGAATTTATATTATCACTTAAAAAGACAAAAACAACCTTTTCATAAAAACAACCTTTTGCTTCAGTCTTTGTCAGTGAGTAGTTTGTATACATACAATTGTCATAATTAACGTATAATATATTATTCTGAAATGGTCCTATTTGCATAATGAGTAGCCTACTTTTGGTATTAGTATATTTTTATGCTAATACTTTTTTTTATTTTACTTTAGTAACATTTTGATTGAAGGACTTTTACTTATAACAGAGTATTCCTACACTCTGGTACTTCTTATTTTCCTTAAGAACAAGATATGAGTATACTCCTTGCACCTCTGTATATGGTATAATTAGTCCAACCTTTATAATAACAATAACTATGCACAAATTATTAAAAAAAGTAAAAGTACCTTGAAGAACTTAAACCTGAAATCTTCAGATAATTGTTGTTGTCAAACCAACGGTCCTTAACAAAAATATATTCAGCTTGCAATGATCAATAATGCCCTGTACAGTATTTCCTAAATTTTACGCGCGCGCCCCCTAGAGCGCGCATCACCCAGGGAGCGCGCGCGGCGAATGGGCGGGGCGCGCGGAGTCAGCGCAGCCAGGGATGAGAAACTTGTCCCGGATATTTACCTAACTATACCTGGCTCTTCCGACGCGCCCGACGTCTGTACAGCGGACAGTTTGAGGAATATAATCTGTCTCTGCAGCGGGAAAACTGAGGTACACACAACTTTGTTTGTCTTTTAAACATTATCTTCCCAAAAACTTCGTTCCAAGTTGTAGTTATTTACGAGGACCGCCGTGGTGGGAGGAAAGTTTGTTATAGAAGAGTTCCTCCTTCTGGGTGTAGCTGTAGAAAACTTCATGTTGTCAACAGGTTTCTTGTCGGTGCTGTGGTTCAAAGTACAGCGAGGTCACAGCAGAGTTCATTATCGACAGTCTGACAACATAAATAAAGGCCCTGTTTATTCATTGGTATGTTTACGTCTGGGAAAGCAGGAGAGGCCATCAGCGCTTTATATCATACTATGTGCACATTACATTTAGGCTTTGGCAGAAACTGTATGTTAACCGCATTACAAAGCAAGATAATTAATGATTAATTCGTCTGTAGCTGTCATGTAGGCACAGACCTCAACATAACAGAAATAAATGCAAGATCCAAAACACCCAGTGAAGTCATATCCACATGCTTTTAAATTAACATTGACTTGTAAGTTCATTAGAGGCATGTCTCTGTGAGGGCTGATTGTGGCAAACAAGTCACTAAACTGGGACCTGCAGCCCTCTTTTAATATATTCAGAATGTGTCACTGTGTTCAAACATTAACTCAAACACTGTGTGTCCTTTCAGAATCAGACTGAGACAGGCCGGCCTGGATCCATTAATCATTCACCTGGAAACCAAGACAGGACAAATGTACGTGCACACACTTGCATGCATATAGATGCAAACACAGACACATCTAGGTTTTATCAAAGGTGGGCAAGTTATTGACTTTGTGCATGCATTGTTGGTGCATGTATGTATGTGTCTGTTTGTGCTACTGTTGCTGCCAGCAGCTGATCTGGGATCAGTCATAGTGTAGATGGGCGTGTTCAACTCTGAAAATGTTTAACATTCTTATCATTCAGCTGCCTGCAAAAGGCGGAGAAAAGCTGAGGGAGAGCAGCAGGGAGAGGGAAGGGACATGTTCAGACCCAGGCCAAATAATTAGGAGTTACTAAACACACACACACACACACACACACACACACACACACACACAGAGTCACTCCTTTGCATTCACGCAGCATTACTCACTGCAGCCTGATACTCCATCCAGCACATATATTGCTCACCACACAATGTCATCGCGCTTTCTTAGGAAGACAACAGCCTGGAAACATCTGACACTGTTTTTGTGGTTGTGTGTGTGTGTGTGTGTGTGTGTGTGTGTGTGTGTGTGTGTGTGTGTGTGTGTGTGTGTGTGTGTGTGTGTGTGTGGTGTGTGGTGTGTGTGTGTGTGTGTGTGTGTGTGTGTGTGTGTGTGTGTGTTGTGTGTGTGTGTGTGTGTGTGTGTGTGTGTGTGTGTGTGTGTGTGTGTGTGTGTGTGTGTGTGTGTGTGTGTGTGTGTGTGTGTGTGTGTTTCCAGGTCCCCACTCCGTGACGAGCTCAGGGCAGGGTATTTGTCTTGAGAGGGAGGGAGAGTTACCGTGGTAACACAGACATGCCAAAACTGGACCTGCTTTGCCTGGTTCAGCTGCTGGACGGCACTATCGAAACCTTCAGAGTCAGCGTGCGTAACACACACACACACACACACACACACACACACACACAGACTCACACTGTTTCCTGTCTGTTGCTGAGGAGATCATATGTTGCTCCTATCCATCTCTGTGCTTTGCTAACGATCATAGCGTCAGTGCAAGATACAGTGACTGAATACTCTTTCCTATTCTCATTGATCTTCATCTCTTATTTATCACGTGACCTTGGTTTGAAGGACACACATTCGCCCCCTGCAGCTTACAGAGCTTGTCACAAGGAGCCTCAACATCATCAGCACATCATGTCATACGCATCAAACACACGCACACTTACACATACAACCTCACACACATATACATGTACAAACTCTGGTAATCACAGAAATTGCTCTTTAGGACACCAGCTGTGCAGCATCTTTCTGTGATCAGTGGGAGTGGTTGTTAGCATTATTACATTCCCCATAACTCTCCTTTTTACAACTGTGCTTTGCTGAGTTTAGAAACGTTTTTGAAATTGTACAGATTTTCACTGAAGATATTGTAGAGCCTTTTTGAAATCGATCTTCACACCTGTGTTGTGTCCACACACATTTAAAATGATTGTTTTTCACTCCTGCAAGAACTCACTGTTCACCGCAGTTTACAGTAAACATGGTTCTCTTCTGATGTGAATGTGCTTCGGGTAACAAAAGTGTGGAGAAAACTCAGATGAGCTGCTGGTATCCCCCAGAGTGATTAATAGTTAAACGACAGAGTGTTGTGCTGCAGATAGAAAGCCTTATTTGCACCTGGTTATATGCATTATTAATTGTTTGTTTCTGTGTTACAACCATTTGAAATATTTAAAATAAAAACAGAGAAACTCAAAGATACAAAAACAATTGTCCTTATCCATACATTTAGCACTTCTCTGACATATGGCATGTTATATTCGCTTGTACAAATAAGCAACCGGGTAATGCAACTCAAAATGTTGGCTGATATGACTATTTGTTTGTTGTTTCCATCTTTCAGAAGCAGGATGAAGGTGTTGTTCTGTTGGACCTGGTATGCGACCACCTGGGCCTGCAGGAGAGGCAGCTCTTCAGTCTGCAGATCAGAGAATCCAGCACAGCCATCGCCTCGATCACAGCCAACACACACTCTCCTGTGAGCTCACTGTTCATCTGCTGCTCATTGGAGCTCGGATTGTTATGTATTGCACTTGCTGATTGCTGTTTAGACGATGATAACCACAGGGTATGCTTACAGAAATGCTTTTTTTAGCCCTGGTTAGCCATTATACTTAATGAATTTCTTTCTCTCAGAGATGGCTGGAGCCGGAGAAACCCTTGAAGAAGCAGATAAAAGGTATTTGGTTTGTTCAGATAATTCACAGTCTGTACCTGAAATAACTTTACTGGATAAACAGATTTTAATACATTTGTTTTAGGACATTTCAATACATGGATTGAGGTGAATTTGCAACTATAGATATATATTCCATTTCTCTGCAGGTCTTGCATCTCCCTTTTATCTGAACTTCAGAGTACGATTCTTCATCTCTGATCCTAACTCTCTGCAGCATGAACAGACAAGGTTAGCATGTGTGTTTTGCACTAATAATATTGATCTGGACAAGTTGTATGCATCAGAAATGCCCCTTTTAACAGGGTTATGTTTAAAAATGAACGCTTGAGTTGGTTCAGTTCCTCTTGTCTCACCCCTGCAGGCACCTGTACTTCCTCCAGATCCGGAGTGACATTAGAGAAGGACGGTTAGTAACTCAACAAATTAATCACCCGCCCCCCCTCTGTGCACAGTTTGTGTTTAGTTCCTTCAATGTGTAATCATGAAGTATGATTGCAGGTTGCAGTGCCCGCTGAGTGCAGCTGTAGTGTTGGCCTCTTACGCCGTGCAGTGTAAGTCCTATCTCTTCTGATTAATGACTTCATAATAACTGAGTGAGTAATTAGCTGAGGGTGCTCTCAATAAGCAGCATCCCTCTGACAGTACCCCAGATGTAGGGCTGTAAAATAGATTGCGTTAATCAATTGCTTGACAAACACAGCATAAAAGACTGCGATGTTGCAATACTTGATGCTACACTTTACAATCAAATCATAATTATTTTCATTTATACCTTTTTTGTTCAATGTTACATTTGGATTCAATTAAATAATATGAATAATAAATAGTTTATCACAAAAAAGAATGTTGTCAATATGTTCCGTTATATCGGTTAACAACATTATCACAAATGTTCCTCATAACGTGCAGCACTACCCACGTGCCAGAGTGTAAATGTTGGATCTGGTAATGTGTGGATGCTGAGTGTCTCTTTCTGTCACCTGCAGCGGAGACGGGGGATCACTGTCCGTCTCGATACCCTGGTTACCTCTCCAAGTGCTTCTTCATTCCTGAGCAGGAGGAAGACTTCCTGTCTAAAGTGGAGGATCTGCATCCACAGCACAAGTAATTCAAACAGTTTTATTACATCTCGTTACCAACAAAAAACAACCGGTTTGTGGTGCATTTGGTTCCAGAATTTGTATGTGACTTTGTGTGTGTGTGTGTGTTTGTGTGTGTTCCTTAGGGGGCTGAAGCAGAGCGAGGCAGAGCTGTGTTTCCTCAACACAGCACGGACGCTGGAGTTATATGGAGTGGAGCTGCATTCTGCAAGGGTAGAGTGATTCCCTTGCTTAAGGGATAGTTTGGCTGTTTTCCCAGGAGGGGTTGTATAAGATACTTATCCATAGTCAGTGAATCGCAGAAGATAGCAATAGGCACCCCTTCTTAGTTTGGAAAAGCAGACAAAATGGCAGAAGTTGCAGCAAGGCCGTACATGATGTTTGGTATATTTCCACTGAAATACTTTGCCGTCAGACCATTATCTCGGCTCTTTTCAAAGTCAGCAGATTCCATTGGCACGAAACAGTGGAGTAAATGTTGCTTATGCTGGTCCCTCGCCTCCATTGGTTAGTTGTTTATGTTATGTGTTACTTGGTGGATCCAAATGTACCACGTAACATACTCAAACTAAACGTTTGTGTTTTGCAAGTATGTTTTTGTCAATAGTGAGGTGTCTTTGAAGAGATTATAGATTACATTAAGTTCCCAATGGAAAGGGAATCAGAATCAGAAACGGGTTTATTGCCAGGTAGGTTCACACGTACGAGGAATTTGACTTGATGTCATGGTGCATATATAAAATATAAACCAAGAAATCTAAAAAAAGTACACGGATAGCGAACTATATTAAGAACACTGTAAAAAAATATAGTTAGATAGCAATAAAATAAAGCAGTAATTTACAGCGAAATAAAATGCAGTGAATTATAGAATATAAAATATTATTAGAATTTATTATTAGAATGCAGTGAATTATAGAATATAACATATTATTATAGAATATGAAATATAAGGTAAAGCATTGAACATTTTCTAGATATAACGTGCATTAAACTGATATTGATTTTACGAGATGGCTACAATGTGTTTTGCTGCTTCCCCCTGTCCACATCATTGCTTTGCCTCTTTGCTATATATTCCTTTCTGTTTCTCCAATCTGGGGGGTTGGCAACTGTATACAATATTAATACACGGACTATAGATAAGTACCTTATACAACCCCACTTCAAAACATCCAAACTGACCCTTTAAACTTTAATGATACACTTCATGTTTCTTCCTTTCTCTGCATCCTCTATGTTCCTCTCATGTTTGACTCTTTCTGTCGATCCCTGGTCTTTCTGTTTCAGGACACCAACGACGCCCCTCTGATGGTGGGTTTGGCCTCCAGTGGTGTTGCAATATTCTGTAATATGATTTGCTCCAGTTTCTTCCCTTGGTGAGTGATAATCACGCTAATTATATATCTTGTTCCTGTATTTTCTCCATTTCCTTCAACCAATTGCATTCTTCACATGTAGGGGGAATATCATCAAGATTTCATTCAAAAGGAAACGCTTTCTTATACATCTGAAACGTAAACACGTGAGTCACTGTGTGATTAATTTGTTCTTAAATATTGTAAAAGGTCTACTTTGAATACACGGTTTCATTTAATTGCTCCACACTCTTAACATGTACATCTATTGAAAGTTTGAAGTCAGCACAATTGATTTGTGTGACTGTATTTTAAGCTTGGCTGTAATTATAGCTCTAATCTTTCTGCAGAATTACACAAATGTGACTACTACATGGTCAGTAGACGTGAATATGGCACTGACTGAATGATTCATGCCCACACTTTTGGCAGGTTATCTCTGTGTGTGTTTATGTGTCACAAGTATTAAATCATTCATAGAAAAATATCAGAAGAGGCAGTCTTTTATTTACGGCAACCTGAGCAGCAACTTAAGTTAGAGACATAACCTTGAATATTTGATTTGCAAAGAACTCCAACAATATCAAGCATTTAAAAAAACTCTCTATGTTTTAGGGGGAGACGCAGGACTGTGAGGTGTCTCTGGTTCTGCCCTGTCCCAAGACCTGTAAGAACCTGTGGAGGTCCTGTGTGGATCATCACTCTTTCTTCAGCTCCAACCGGACCGCCAGGAGCCCCAGAAACAACAACAGCACCGTTCAGGCCTACAAAAAGCTAATAACACAACACCTGGGCCTCAGCAACACTACAACTGAGAGGTGAGCCTTGCACCTGTACAGACAGTATATCCGTCTGTACATGCTCCAGAGAAATACTAAAAACTTTATTTTCCTTCCTAATTTGTAGCGGCCCAGTGGGCCAGCGGGTGGTGGGGGGGATGGTGTGGAACCCAGTCCTGCGGAGGTCAATTTCGTCAGATCACCTAGAGACCGTGAGTCTGCCGTCTAGATCGCCCCCAAACACCCCCAACTGGTATGACCCGACCATCATGACATATCCAGCATCTTTTTTCTCTGAACTCATATTGTGTTATTTGATTCAAATCTTTCTCTCCCCTTGTTTTGCCTGTATGTCTCTCCGGCAGGCGAAGTCCACGAGTTCGCCACGGCATCCGCAAGCCCCGCCCATCCTCAGTTGAACTAACCAATGACATGAAAGACATGTCGGAGGGGGAGGACGTCTTCTACACATACAGGGCGTCTGTGAGCAGCAGCAAGGACAGCGAGGGAGACAATTCACCGCATCAGTAAGTATCAGTTACGGGCCGTCTCCACGGCAGCGCTAAAAAAATCTTGGAGGTGGGCGTATCTGAAGCTTGAGGATTTTTTGCGAGCAACCAATCACATGAATCTCCCGCCCGCGACATACGAAGCAAAAAAGCCCATAGTAAACTGGATATAAACTCCCCAAAACAGGCGAAAACCTACCACTGTCTCTGCCACCTCCCTCCATGCCTGGCTCCTCCGGTTTATATCCCGGTAGGTCTGGTCATAAAGCACCGGGTGATTGATTCGCTACCGCTAATTTCTCCTCCATTTTTTGGAATATGAGGAAATGACCTGCGGTATTTCTCTCCCAGCATACACGCCGTTTGATTGGCTAGAGCTTGAACTGTCAGATTTGCGTACACGGGATTTGATTGGCTGACGCTTCCTCCTCAGCTTCAAAAGTTGAACATTGTTCAACTTTGGATCTTGAAAATCCTGAGAATCTCCGCTCGCCTGCCCACAATGCATTTCGGCGAAAGCGAAAAAAAGTGACGTCACCCCATTCAAAGTGAATGGGCAGAAGCGTTTCAAGATTTTTTAACGGCCCGTTACAACTAAAGTGTGTGTTTGTCTACTTCTTTGGCCCACTTTGAACATCTCTCTCAATTGAGTGGGATTCATGGTGGATTGTAGAATTGAAAAGAAACACATTTTGAAATCTGGATGTTTGGAAAAATAGAAAGGGTTTCAACCTGTAATAAAGTGATGTTTATGAATAATACAAATTATACGAATACAATAATGACAATTATTTATTTATTTAATTATTGCTGCCCTTCAAAACACTTAATGAAACATTAAAGCAACAGTATAAAACACATAGAAATGTATCAGGAAATAATTAAATCAAACGGTAATACACATGTAAACCTTCAGAAAGGCGTGAGCTTTACTGTATAGAAAATACGTCTAACGTGTGTTGTGAAAATATTTATTATAACCAAAGGAAGAATTACAAGAAGAAATTACATTATTATCACATCCATATTATCTTTTATTCTTTAAATCAGGGTAAACAAAATGTCGTAATTTCCTCTCTTCCAGCGGTCCTGGCTCTCCCAGCCATGATGAGGCTTCGATGCATATTGATGGCAGTATAGGAGAGGACGATGCAGAACACAGCTCACAACACTACCAAAAGGTCCGTTATCTCATCATCAAGTTTGTGACTGTTAATCCATCCATGTGCATTAATTCTGAGGTCTTGTGTGATGCAGGGGGCTCTCGGCGACGGGGACTTGATGCTGTTATGCATCGCCCCCGATCACGACGGCAAGTTTGGCTTCATTGTTAAAGTGAGTCTCTTTCTTTCTTAGAATCGCCACACAAGGCAATGTTTTAGTTTTTATTTACTCACATTATTTTTGTGTTGTAACTCCTCCACTCTTGCTACATTTATTTCCCAACTCCTCCTAGGGTGGAGTGGATCAAAAGATGCCTCTAGCCATTTCCCACGTAAAACCTGACTCTCCGGTAAGAGCGAAACAGACGTGTTTGTGTTTTTACGGCCTGGTGTCTCCAGGTGACGTCAAAACTCCTTAATGAGGAATTATCATTCAAAGTACGGACTGATGATGACATATTTTGAATAAGAGCAGATAATTGGCTGCTTGCTAGAAAAATAAAAGGCTATTGTGATGTTATTTATGTATATGATGTGTATATAAATGCTGACAATTAGTAGATGAGTTCGGAAGGATTTTTAATAATAAAGATTTAAAAAGCACGCGTTAGTATGTGGAATGTTGAGCGTCAATACAGTTATCCATGTTTGATCAATGGTCATTTCAAGAAAATATCAATTCAAAACAAACAAAATATCTTGATTCAGATTCCCTAGATTCTTATATATTTTCATTGATACCAAGTTAATTAATGAGCGATACATTTTTACAGTTGAAACATTTCCCTAAAAGTGCTCTCTGGTGGACAAACTATGTACTGGTGACACTGTTTTCTAGTGTAGCTCAGACTTAGTTTGTCATGTTTGTTTTTTCTTGTTACCGGTTTGCTGACCCATATACTAATAGACCCCGATATAGAATGAACTTCAGATTGACGTGTGGTGTGATGTCAGCTTCTTTAATGACTCTGTGTTGTTTGTAGGCAGGTCGATGTGAGCCTAAACTCCTGGAGGGAGACCTGATAGTGCTCATCAATGGTCGAGACATTTCTGAACACACACATGATCAGGTTGTCATGTTCATAAAAGCCAGCCGAGAGTCACACTCCAGAGAGCTGGCTTTGCTCATCAGACGTAAAGGTGGGTGTGTGTGTGTGCGTGCGTGCGTGCGTGCGTGCGTGCGTGCGTGCGTGCGTGCGTGCGTGCGTGCGTGTGCGTGCGTGTGCGTGTGTGTGTGATAGACAGACAGAACTGCTGAAGCAGCAAGTGACATAAGTCTACACACTGTCTGCCATGTTTCTATGAATATTTATTACAGCCTTGAACCGTCCTTGATTCCTCAGGTCCTGGCCGGGTGGCACCCCTGCTGCAGTTACCTCCCGCCCTCACGCTCACCTGCCAATCACAGGGAGGCCGACCCTCACCTAGTCCCTCTGAGCGGGTCACAACACTGGAGGAGTCAATGAGACAGCTGGAGAGAGGAATACAATCTGGCACTCTGTGTTTCCATTTTGAGGTATTTCAAATGGAACTAAACTGCAAATGGATATTTATAAGCAGTGCCAAAATATGTCTTTATTTTAAGCAGGATTTAGTTTGACCCACTCAGTTATTTTGAGCCTTTTAAGTGTTGATTTTTGGGACAGATGGCGGCACTGGCCTGGAATTTGTATATTTTATTTGTGTATGTGCCTGTGTGTGTTTACGCTTGTGTTTATGCTTGTTATTTGTAGAATTTATACAGGAGGAAGCCTGGTCTGACACTAAACTGTGCTCGGCTCTCTGAGAACATGGACAAGAATCGATATAAGGATGTTTTACCTTGTAAGTGCTGATTACTCGGACTACCTGTGTGTCTGTGCCAACTTCTTACCGTGATCTTGAGCTCACCGCTGTCGCACATCATGAAATGTAATTGGTCCAGCCTGCGGTGCGGCGACTGCTCGGTTACGACCCTCACGTTCTGCTCTCATTTCAGACGATGCTACCAGAGTGGTGCTCCAGGGCCAGGAGGACTACATCAACGCCAGCCACATCACGGTGCGCATCACTGATGTGAAACTGAGTGTTTCACATCATATCTCTGTCTGACATTTAATGTAAACTCATCCTCTGTGTAGTGTTTGCATCTGTGTGTGTTTATTTGTCTGTCTCGTAGGTGGCACCCCCAGAGTCTGGTGTGTGTTTACGTTATGTCGCAGCTCAGGGTCCATTGCCACAGACCTGCACTCACTTTTGGCAGACTGTTTGGGAGCAACAGACGCACACCATCATCATGCTAACAACTCTCACCGAGAGGGGACGGGTATACATGCTTTTATACTGTAAACAGCTTAATTTACACAGGAATGGAAATGAGTAAACAGAAAGGAAAACACTTTATTTACATTACACAGCTCAATATGAGCGGTGCATTATCACAGTGATTACTGCAGCGCTGTGTCCTGTTACGTGATTATTGTAATCACAAGGTTCATCTGTGATATTTACACACAAAAATATTAAATTGGCACTGAAATTTGAGTAATTTCAGGGTTTTACAGTGCAGAGAATAGCTAATTGCAAAGTGTGAACAGGATGCCAAAGAGTGAGGAAGACACTTCCACACAGTGACTTATCAAGGTCCTGCTGAATGAAGATGTCTCTGTGTCAGCTGTTGCTTGGTAACCAGATGCTTTCATTAATTGATAATGTCCTGATATTTGTCAAGTGCCCTGAGTTTCTCCCCACTTGACGATCACACACACACACACACACACACACACACACACACATACACACACACACATGCACACACACACACACACACACACACACACACACACACACACACACACACACACACACACACACACTCGCACACACATACACATACACATACACATACACACACACACATGCACACATGCACACATGCACACACACACACAATCAGTTCTCATCCTGCCCCTGATGAATTGCTTTTGTTCCTCTAACTGTCGGGTGGATCATGCAGCGCTCTTGAATTTGAGTTTGATTTGATGAGAGCAGAGTGCAGCTCATGTAGCAGCAGCAGCAGTTAATTGTATCCTGACTGATGACTCATGTCACATGTAATGTAATTTCTCGCCAATGTCATACGTTTGCAGACCAAGTGCCACCAGTACTGGCCGCATCCGCCGGAAGTGAAGGATTATGGGCACATGCGAGTGAAGTGTCACTCTGAGGAGTGTAACCTGGCGTATGTGACGCGACAGTTCACACTGACACACACACAGGTACAGTAGCAAATAGATCTGCAATGATTAGCCGATAAACAGAGAATTAACTGGCAACTATTTTAATAAATGACTAGTTGTTTAAGTAAATGTAAACCGACAACATTTCTTGTTTAAGCTTCTCCAATGTGTACATCAGCTGCTTTTCCTGCACATTTTCTCAACATTATAATAAGATCTATATTTGTGGGGTTTGTACTTTAGCTTGGATACATTTTTGTTGTACCTTTTAACAAAGATGAACCTAAAAAATAAAAAACCGGAATTAACATAGGGATAATGAAAAGAAGAAACATACAATAAAAAGAAACTAAAATAACACAAATACTAGATGAAGATAAAGGAAAATTGGTAGGCTACTGATTTGTTCTTGTAAAAAAAACATGAGGGCAGAGCTTTCAAGAGCAGAGAGAGCTGTATTAAAGAAGCATGTCGTTCAGAAAAGCCAATAATTGGATTTTCTCTTTAATATGGTTTAAAAAAGGATTTCATACTGTATTGAAAACCTTTGAGGAGCCCCTTTAATAAGTATTTTATTTTCTCTCACTTAGTAAAAAGCAGGTCATCTCGGATCCAATGAGTAAAGGTCGGGTTAGCGTGGGTGTGCATCTTTCCATTTAAGTACAATTAGGCATCTAGAGAGTGAGGAAGCAAAAGTGTCAGCTTCAGTCTTACATTTGTGGGGGTCTGGAGGGACACCAAAGACGGCTCTGAATGGAAAACAGGTCAATAGTTTATTTAAAGATTTAAAATGTTAAACCCTAGAAAACAAGACCTTTAACTCTGGGATATTATGATGTACTAATATTGATGCGTTTCTTTCTTATAGGCCAAACAATTGATTGAGAAAAAAAGTCTGTAGGCAAATCAATTATGAAAATAATTGGTTGCAGCCCTACTAGCAAAGTTCACACCTGCTCTCATATCCACATGAGCAAAGCATGACCATGGTCTCACAACACAGATCTGTTTATATGTTTGCAGTGACATGTACCATGTTTGTGCCATATGTTACATAACAGATCTCTCCACAGGCAGCATAATATCCTCAGCCAACATACAGTCACCTCCGTGTGGATGGCTTGGTCTGAATGAGTGCGTGGGCGGGCCAGTGTTAGTGTGTATTACCTGTGTGTATGTGTGGGTGGGCAGGTCTGTCTGGAAGGTGTATATGATGAAGTGTAAAACCCTTTATATGGGAGATAATCAGATTAAATGACCTGTTTTACACATGGACTTCCATGGCAAACAGGTAAATAAACAAATAATGCTCAAAGAGGCATTAAGTATAAAGGCACACACAGAGATAGTGCTGTGTGGGCCCATCTGTTCCTCTGGCGGAGCGAGTTAATCCCTGCGTGGAGTCACAGGCCACATGACCGTTATAAATTCTGAACTCAGCTGTTCTCTATCCTGCCTGTTTTCATCTTTCTGTTTCCCTCTTCACTTCCTGACCTCAGCTCTCAAGTGCGGGTTTGATCTCCTCACCTGCTCAGCCTTTCCACTTCATTGTTATGTTTTTAAGCCTGTAGCGCTGTAGAGTTAGTCTTATGTGGGTAAAATATACAGCTATTGCATCTACAGACTGATCTTAATCTTCACAACAGTGTATCCTTGAACAAGTTTAAAGCTCAAATCTATTCGGTCCACGATATCTGTTATAATTTCTGAGTTTGTTTGGGTCAACTTTCACCTGCTTTTCTTTTGCTATTGCAACTTGATTCTTGATCAGGTCTCCCTTTTTTTAAAAGAGATCTAAACCTCAATGCAACTTACCGGGCTAAATGAATACATCTACTCTTTCCTAAAGGTTACATGTTTACCCTTTCAAATACAGGACTTTAAATATGTTCCTTCTTTTTTCTGTGTGTGTGTTAGCGGGGTGAGGAACGTGCAGTCACACACTTGCAGTATGTCGCGTGGCCCGACCACGGCGTACCCGATGATCCTTCAGACTTCCTGTTGTTCATCAGCTCGGTCAGGGAGAGGAGGCGAGGTGAAGAGCCACTAATGGTACACTGCAGGTAACACATACACACTCACACACTCATAGGGTAAACTGTTAATGAGCACTGCCTGCACGCCTTGAATGTTCACTCAACACCGTGTGTGTGTTTTGAATTTCAGCGCTGGGATTGGACGGACAGGTGTTCTGATCACCATGGAGACGGCGCTAGCTCAGCTGGATGGGGGTCAGCCGGTGTTCCCGCTGGACATCGTCAAAACTGTGAGGGATCAGCGAGCCATGATGGTTCAGACCACGGTACGGATAACCACCACAGTGATTGTTCTCTCCCATAATAAGTTTGTTTTCTTTATTATTGCTATATGATACCCTGTTGATGAGTGAATTTGAATCAGATAAAACATGAAATAAATGCAATACGCACATACCTATGAGGATTGGTTGGGTATATTACATATATACATACATAAATAAATTAAGGTATATCCAACCGATTTGTCTCCTACAAAGGAATATCTGTCCGGTACAAAAGGCTTGACAAGGGGGGATGTAACCACGTATAACTAGTTTATTTTGAAAATGTTTTAGGCAACAGAAGATGTTAAAAGTTTGGGGTGAGCAAGTTGTACTTTGAGGTGTTTTTACTTCCAAAATTATTTTCTTGTCCAACATCATAGTCATATATTTTCAAATCAAATCAAATCAAGTTTTATTTATATAGCACATTTTTAAACGATTTTTGGTCGAGCCAAAGTGCTGTACATATAATAAAAATACTCTGCAGTAAAGACACTTTACAACAAATACAACAGCACAGTTTGTGCAGAATATCAGTATGAGAAAACGACACCCTCTGTCCTTAGACCCTCACATCATACAAGGAAAAACTTCCGGAGTTACAGAGATGCTTAGACAGGCAGGGGAGTGCATTTATGTAGACACGTTGTGCCTCCTTACCTCTGTTCCTTACCTCTTATTCTGCTTTTCTACCCTAGCCTTGAGGAGTGCATGGACGTAGACACGTTGTGCCTTTTCAGTTCTGTTTCTTACTTCTGACTTCATTCTAAGGGAGTGCATTTACGTATTCATGTTGTGCCTCTCCACCTCTGTCCTCTATCTCCTAGGGTCAAAGTTCATATGGCTAGGGATTACTTTGACCGATTTGCGCCGGCCCGGCCCGTGCCTTGCCTTGGACTTCTATACAACTGCTCGGGTCTTGATAGATTGAGTGGGGAAGTTCAGGAGATATTCCCTATATATAAGTTCAGGAGATATTCCCTATATATATTTTCTCTTGGCTCAATACAGGCTGTTCAAATGCATTTACTATTTTAAATAGTGAAGTTAGTGTTTTAATATTGGATTATGCTCAGTGCAATTCTTTTGAAGGGTCAGAATATTTGGTTTAATAAAGTTAAAGCTTCTGGGAGATTGAAAAGTCTTGAGAGCTTATATTATTTGGTGAATATACCTTATAAAGAGACTTTTAATAAGGGAGAGTAGAATCCTCGAAAATGACTTCTCAAATGGCCAACTTCCCAGTTCTTGTCATATGTTGGATCTTGTCATTGACTATAACCTTAATTATTACACACACACTTGGCTGCCACAGTTTTTACGCTGATGGCTGATGAGCTGGAGAAGCTCATCATTTGCACGCTGAGGTTGGAAGCCGTGCTCTGTGGCACCTCAGTGGTATTTGTCGAAGGAGAGGAAAGTGTTACTCATTGCTTTGATAGGAGGTAGCGCTGGGAATATGGCAGCCCTCCAGTCATAAGCCTGCTTCTAGGCCACTGCTGCTACCAATATCTCCCGTATTTTTGAAAGAAGATCCAGTCCCGTGGGCTTCTTCTCTCTGATGCGTTTGTGCTGATGGAAGGCTTCCTCAGGTTTCCCCTCGTATGTTTGTATCCCTGACATTGATGGAAAACATGCACAGTCAGAGGACAAACCTTCATGCTTGGTACACAGACTGGATAAACACATATGTTTGAAGGAAAAGCTTGGCATTGATTTATACTATATACTTTTTCCTTATTGAAAACAAACCTCATAAAAACAGCAAACCAAATGTGTTTCAATTCTTTTCAGATCCTGAGCCTGTCTGTGAAACTGTTGAAAATGAAATAGATTAAAATAGGTCACAAATGCACTGTTAACAATTCAATCTCACCACAATCTCACCCAGTAGCTGGAGCTTTTTTTCCTTTAGTAATTCTTGCAACATGGCTGTAAATATGGCACTTTATATTTCACTGAAATATATCAATTTCAGTGAAAAAGGTTTGAAAAGAAACAAAAACTGCACTGGTGACTATTTTTCTGACGTGTATTAAAACACATTTGGTTGTTAGTGAATATTTCCTCGTGTATTCTTTTATAGCTACAATGAACTTTTATGATTGAAGAATACGGCTTTTGTTTTCACAAACAGGATCAGGTCATTGTTGAATAGTTCCTTTAATATATTCAGCACTTTCAGTGTTGTGTAACAGCTGTAAACTCTTTGTGTGTTTTGTGTTTCAGTGTCAGTTCCAGTTTGTGTGTGAGGCCATTCTGCGAGTCTACAAAGAGAAACAGGAGGGATCTTCAGCACCGTAGCTCGAATCAGCAACAGGACCAAAACAGACACACTTCCAGTTTCATCCTCATCTCATTGCAGGCAACTGCCACAGAGGGACTTACAGCGCTATAGCAGATTAACCTCTGCCACCGCCTGCCTGGTACACAGACTGGATAATGAGAGTATAACCAGCTCCAGAGTACAGCTGTCTGTGTTCTGCGTAGCCTATATTCAATGTGAGAGTATGAATCTTACACCTAGTCGGCCTTAGTGTTTGCTTATGAAGCTCGTAGAGGCTGCGGTCTCCATAGAGACTGATGTAATACTGATGTGAGCTGCTCATTTCTGTCCCCGAGGCCACTCAAGAATGCTGCCTCTACTTATGAAGCTATGTGTGCCTTGAACTGAAACCCAATGGATCGAATGGGGCGGCAGAGGCAGACCTGGATCGTTGTAATCGTTGTTTATCTGTGTGTCCAAAGATGAAGAGCATGGCAGCCTTTAGATCAGTACAGCAGATACTGTAAGGTACAGCACAGAGGAGCACCAAACTCCACTCTTCAACACTGTTAAATTATTAAGACACTTAATAAATTCTGATTTATACTCATGTGTCTGCTTTGTCCGATCTTTCATAGTGAGTGTCAATAATAACATGATTAAATGGGGATTTCTCATTATGTCAAGTTACAATCTTAAACCCCTTTCCCGCTCTACAATACATCTCAAACATCTGGCTTTTAACTTTGGTGGGAGGGGTTACAATCCACATTTATTCCTGGGACAGATTACTCTACACTAGTCAACGTTATTTATCAACTACAGCTCCAATTTGCAATGATGGAAAAAGGAACACCCTAATTTTTAACCCTTTTTCAGTGCATTGCTGTGTGAGATACTCTCTTAAATGAATATATAATAAATACAATAAACATTTTGGAATTATATATTAATGAATGTACATAACAATTCCAGTTAGACAACAGCAATTTCACCTACCTGTTTATACCCGTTCCATGTATAACTCTAGTTTGAGAGTTTAAAAGAATGACTCGATAAGTGACAAATACTTCAAATGCAATGGCTTTCATCAGTTAGCCATAGACTCAAATGGCCATTGTGTGAACTTATTGGTGATAATGATTACTTAAAAGGCTCCGTGGTGACTTTTTATGCATGCTATTTTCACTATTCCTTGCAGATTGAAGCTGCTGAAATAAAAAGAGTAGTCTGCTTATTTGACCTTCAGCTGAGTGCCTCTAAAGCTGGCAACATGACAGTGAAACTCTTTCAGCAATACAAATCAGCCCAAACGGTGTCTGGTTAGGAAAAAATATTGTTTTAAAATAAATAATCAATCACTAAATGTATTATGGCTGTGGAGACTTAAGAATCGCTGCAGGTTTCTGTTGTTGTTTTATTAATTATGTTGTTATTCTTTTCTCTGTCCTTTTCTCATATGTATAACGCAGGCACAAACATTTGGTATGCTTTTTAATAACTACCACTACAATATTTTGGATGAATCTCGTAATTTCACACATAAATGATATTAATTATGTCATGACATGAGCTATAAGGATTTTGCACAAAAAGCTACATCACCAGCGTTTTATGTATACACAATGTACTTCATATTTGCTGTCAGAATGTAGCTTCTAACAACCATTAATATTGATTGACCCAGTTTGTTTATGGTTTGTATGGTGTTGGAATGGGAATTGTGGGATGTTATATGTTAAGGAATTTGCTGCATATTTGTTTGAATTCAAAATAATGTATAGGGCTGATTCCATTTATTTTAGATTTGTCAAAATACGATTTGACTTTGACCCAATTCACAACATGAAAAATCTTTAATATTTTGTTGTCAGAGTCAGTAGAGAAGGAGATTTTATAGATCTTAAGAATGGTAACTGTTTCACCGAAAATATAATTGGATAGACAATTTATAATTTAATATTTTTTTTATGAATGTATTATTGTAGGCTATTTAGTGTCATGAGGGTGTTGTGTTTTGACTGGGACTTGTGAAATTCTTCAGTCTAAGGTTCTATAAATAAAGTGACACATAATTATTTTGGGGACTTCCTGGAAACCCTTTATCGGTCCTTGAGGCACCTTGGACCACACCTTGGGAACCACTCATGATAAAGGCGGGTGTCCGACAGGTGGCGCTGGTTTACCGGCGCTGCTGGGTCGGCCTGTGGAGGAACAGAAGTTTGTTCTGCGCTGTGTTTTTACGCAGGCGCAGAACACACTGTTTGTCCAGTTTCGTTGGTTGACTTTTACCTGTGAGGTAGTTTCGGTTCGCCGGTGGGAATAAGCAACAACCACCCCCGGGGTTCCGGTGCAGAGGTGACCAGACTTTACTCCCCCTCCCCGGCCCCGTGTGACTCCCACGGCGGAGCGTCGGTCGGGATTTCTCCGGTATTTGAGAGTCGGTGCGCAACAGCAAGCAAAGCAGGAGGCAGGTGCACAGGAGAGGACAGGACAGGGGGAGGAGGAGGGCTGCTTGTATTTCCGTGAGAGTCGTTCACACCGGGCCAGTTAATCAACTGGTTGGTGCCTCGGTGGTCTTTCTGCGTGAGTTTCATTAGTATGCGGCTAGGGTCCCCCGCCGACATCCAGCCGGAGGACTGATCGGCAGCCCTGAAGTCTCCTCCGTGCCTGCTAAGTGACTCCTCGCCCCGGGGAGGACGAGGAGGAGGAGGCGGCAACAGCAGCAGAAGCAGGACCCCGGCTTCTCCGCCTGTTGTGTGGAACACTTTCCCCGGACACAACAAGGACCTCCTCACCTTGTGGATCAGGAAGATGATGGGCTTTCTGCGCCGGACGTTCAGCCGCCGCTCCCGGAGCCGCTTCCAGACGAGAGAGAGGGACGAGCGGGACGGTAAGGGGGGAGGAGGAGGGGGGGCAGGAGGGGTGACCGGGAACCCCCTGCTCCTGGCCCATCAGCAGCAGGTCGTGCATGCACCCGCCGTGGTCAGCGGGGGGGCGGTGGTGCACATCCCGGCGGCCGGGATGGCGAGGACCACCATCACCTGCCGGGTGCTGCTGCTGGACGGCTCGGATGTCAGTGTGGATTTGCCTGTGAGTGTCCCGTGTGCTGATTGCGGCACAGTGTGTAAACAAAGTAGGCTACATGGCGCAGGACTAGGTGGTAGGCTAGGTCAGTGTGTCAAAGTGCGGCTCGGGGCCCCCATGTGGTCCTTGTTTGGCTTCCTTGTGGCCCCCTACATAGTAAAAAAACTATGAGTTACTGTACTTGAGTACATCAGGGTTGATGACAGTTTTGATTTTTTTAATTCAAAATGTAAGTAGAAACTGCAATTCTGGTGGATGCTAATATGGAACCAGTCTCAACACAGATGGTGTCATCAGGGCACTTTCATCACAGTAAATTCCAATGTTAATAAAAACACACAGAAGCTATATGTTTTTTGGGAGTTTGATTTATTTTAAATTAACACAAATACAAAATTAAAACCTATAATTGCACACTAAAACCATTATTTCAAAAAAAGAACTATAGTTTATGGGCGCTGTATGCAATATAGGCGTAGTTCTGTTAGTATAAGATAATAAGATGTACTTTGTTGATCCAAAATCGGGAAATTGTTTTGTTATGAAATTTAAATAAAACATTTTTTTTCTTTCCCCCAATTTGCGGTGCCCCCCATGGGTTGATGCGCCCTTAGCATTTGCCTATACTGCCTATGCCAGTGTTTCTCAAAGTGGGGGGCGCGGCGCAGAGGCATGACAGGGGGGGCGCGAGAGACCAGGAGGAAAGATGGTTTTGAAAAAAAAGAAAAGAAAAAAGAAATCATAATTTGACAAATTATTGATTCGAAAATAATATGATACTGTACAGTACAAGTACGTCTGGGTCTCTGCGTTTCATTCAAGCTCGGCTCTGTGTGTTTGTGGAACGAGCCATTTTGTGTGCGTGCGCGAGCGAGAGAGAGAGAGAGAGAGAGCGCACCGGTACCGGAGATCGTTGTTGTTAGCTTCTGGTGCTAGCGAGCTAGTGGCCGGGTCTCAAACGGTTTGGTCACGATTAATGTAAACAATTATTTCCGAGGCACACGTTTATATGATCATTATAGTTATAAAAAAATAAGAGAATAAATGAAAAACAGGTATGAAATACTATATGACAGTAAAACAAGAATAGAGTTTAAAAGGGGAGTGATTTGTAAAATATCCACAAAGAAAAAGTAAATCTGTTTACAGTTCTGTCTCATATGGGTGTTGAGAGATGTATCCATAGATTAATGTTGCTCTCAAAGTGCAGATTGATGCTTTTGACTTCAATATTTAAAAAAAAAGTCTTCCCGGGGGAGCATGCCCCCGGACCCCCCTAGAGGATGTTAGGTCCACTCCCCACTTATAAAAATAGCACTTTACCCCTGCTTACACCTATATGCCGTGAGCTGATTATCGAGCCTTCATTGTAACAGTCGCAGGTACACTGTGTATGTGCGTGTGGGGAGTGTTGCAGTAGAACATTCAACTGTAGCGCCCGGTACCTTAATGGGAAACCCTAAATGTTTGAGCACCCTCTATGAAACGTCAAGCTAGCCCACAGCACCCCCAAAAGAAATCTCTGGCGCCGCCACTGAGCCTGCAACCCCGTTTTGAAGAAATGTGCAGTGCAAAACAGGCTCATTGCTGCCACTAATGCTGTGATAAGACACACTTTTCTGCCAAATATCAGCATTTTCTTTCTTTTCATTTTTTTGCACAGATTGCAAAGTGGCAAAGTATTATAACTTATTGTTCTAGCAAAGGGATTGCACAATTGTATTTATGTTTTTGACCACACAGACTTATGGAGCATTGTTTTATTATCACTGTTCTAGCAAAGTGATTTTTTTATTTTTTTGAAAGGAATGCTCACGTTCATATTGATGTATTTTAATAAATGTTAACTTGGCCCATTACGTGACTATTTGCAACACTCCCCACACGCACATACACAGTGTACCTGACAGAAAAAGTTTGAGAACCACTGGCCTATGCCAAGGGCTGGCCCTGGGTGTCATTATTTTATAGCCACAACACTGTAAAATCAACATTAACTTTGTAATTATAAGAGAAGGAAAATTCACTTTTTTGTTGCCGCATTAAGCTTCAAACATTTAGCCTAGTTAATGATATTCTTAGTGGATTGACAGAATAATGAATAAAATGTTTGGGATAATTTACTGTTTTTAAGCAAATTGTAAACAACTCATGAGTTTTGGGTATTTTTGCTTTTCTTATTTAAGGATTAGACACTTTATCTGTTATATCACTTTAAATTGAGTTCCATCGAGCTTGGGACTCATTCCTAGATCTGAGACGTAGTTTGTGGCTTTTGTTTTACAATGTTTTTGTTAAAGGATTGCAAACACAGCTATATCCACCCGTAGTATCATAGTGCCCTTTATGTTATTAGTGTGGGAGCGATGTACGATGAGGGTTGCAGCTCCAGATGGTCTTATGATTAGTCAATTCATCACAATACTTGCTCATTTCTGACTGCAGGGAAATCTAAGTAAGACCTGAAGCTGCCCCCTCCTGTTTGCTCTTTCACAGCATCTCACTTCCCTCTTCCTCTCATTC